GGCTGATTATACCAAAATTTACAATTTTCACTTCTAGAAGTGATTGCCATCTCAACGATTCTTCCCAGAGAAACACTTGATAAGACAATTCATAGCTCGTATATGACTTAATGGATCGAAACGTCTTATCTCACTCTTATTTTCTCTCATACTGTTCTGTCATGCTGGAATCTATCGCGCCTTTGACATTTAGGTTTTCAGGGTCAACCTGGTTGCTACAGTCGGCTCATAGCTGAATAATTATGCTGTAAATTGTAACTATTTAAACAATCAAAAGAAATATTTTATTTTCAACAGTCAACATAACGGCAAACAGCAGAAATGGATTAATACGAAAGACATAACATCATAACCAGCACAATACAATTAGGTCCAAAAAAAAAACCACCCTTTTTCAGTGTATAATTGATTTTTCACTAAGCCTAGCCACGAAAATATGCAGATGATTTTTGGGGAAAATACACAGGTTTGTGGGTTTGGATGAGAGTTGTGGAAAACACAGTCGTTCTCCAGTACCTATTTTTACGGTTCGGTGCGATTCTCGAATGCAAGCACGAGCTTACCAGCCTTCACTTAGTATCTAACTTCTTCCTTTGCGCAGTTTTTTTCAATATTTGATTTTTCACTAATTTCACTGGGAAATCACTAAAACTTGGCTCAGCCGCGCAAAAATATGCACATGATTTTGGGGGAAATGTACTCGTTTGTGGGTTTGGATGAAAGTTGTGAAAATCATCTTCGTCCACTAATACTTGATTTTCCTGACTCGGCGCGATTCTAGAATGCAAGCACAAGCTTAGCAACTTTCACTCAGTTCTAATTTTGCAGTTAGTTTCTTTCTTGGCAAAATACATCTGTATAACTTATAATCTCTACCTCCAAAGAGGAGCTCATCTCCATCCCAACCAATATCCGGTCCCCCCTCCCCTGTTTTCCCTTTGCTGGGATACTTTCTGCAACCTAAACCAGCATTCCTGGTCTTTTTCCCCTTCCATCCAACTCGATCCCTACTCCAACATCCGAGAGGAGTATACCAAGAAAATTACGACTCTTCCCGCAATCCCATTCAAGCCAGTTCTAGCAAAAGCCACTTAGATTGTCCGTATGAGATGTAAGCCATATCACAAAACAAACATATCAAGAACACTCGAACAAGACCATACCACTTTATCCAAAAAAAAAGGTAAAATAAAAAATGCAACTTTACAATAAAAAGAAAAAAAACAAAAATCAAAATTGAGCGAAAAAAAAAAAGAAAAAAGCCGAGCAGATGATGACGAGATGAAAGAAATTCGTTAACTTTGCTCTTTCTGTATTTCCAACATTTCACGTGGCAAATATAGCGGATTTAACTGTTGACTTAGCACATCATCGCTATCCGCTGTAGTGTTTCGGAAGTCATACATCGATAGATCTCCGTCCTGGATATCGCGGAACATACCAGCCAGGATGCGACGACGAAATTCATGTTTTGGATCATCCACCTCTTTCTGTATCTCATCCAGTATATTCAGAAATACTGCAGCACCTAAATAAATACAGTTGTACCATTTCGGAACTGGGGAAAAATTTCCGAAGAAACTGAAAGTTTAAAAAAAAATGAGTTAAACGGTTGGCAAGGCCAGAAAAGTTGCAAAAAGTGTCTTCTCCTAGCGTCGAAGACCCGCAAGCAGCCGGCCAAGAAGCCGCCACAAAGAAAAAGAGAAAAGAAAGGTGCATCTTGCCTTGAAAGGCAGATACACAGTAGATGTGCTGCCAGGGGGGAAACCTGAGCACAAAGGCAGGTGGTGTAGTGGTAACAAATTGCGCCCGGACGCGAAAAGGAGTGGTTCGATACCCTACAGGATCTAGGATTTTTGAAACAGGGTTCCGTCACGATACCTAGTGTCCTTGTGCGAACATTTGGAAAGTAAGTTTTTGCGTGATTTATTTCGGTCGCAAATTGGTAACGCCTGACATTGCAACCCGAGGGGTCAAATCACTTTCAGCATGCTTTCAAACACTTTTTGGAAAGAAAAACACTGGGAACATGTTGTCAGCAAAGTATTTCCGCTCGACTAATCGAGTTTTCTCCACACTTTCACAAAAACTAATTTGGGCCAAGCGATATTTGTTCAAGACGGGTTGTGGGCTTAAAATTACACTAAATTATCTCATCTTAGTCCAGGGATAGAAAATTTGAGGAAAATGGTCATGCTGCACAGAAGTTCCAGGATTCCAAATTAGTCTTTCTGCACAGTCATCCCACGAATTCCGGTACGTCCAGTGCAAACACTGGAAACATTTTGGTGCTACACGAACAGATGAAAAAACGAACTCAAAGGTTTGATGTTATCAAATTTGCTTGATCCAGAAAGACACGATTGCAAATAACGATAATAATGAGAGCAATCGATCAGTTCTGCTTTGCCAGCACCGCGACAGTAAGTCGAATCTGTCACCCGGAAAAGTTTCCTCGTTTCCGTCGACGTCGGTCGACATTTAATTTCATGCCCTAAATACTCCTGCAAAAATGAAACTTTCTGTAAAAAAAAAAAAATATACCAAATTAACGAAAGGGTAAAGTCAAAAGACTACCAAAAGAGAAGCGTCTGAATAATCCGTGTTTCGTTGCTTTGATTTCTGGATGGTGCTCAGCGCATCTGACCAACACTGAATCTAAAATTCAAAAAAAAAAAAAACTTTTAAGTATAATCGATAAAAAAACATCATACTTCATAATCTTGATGAAAAATCACGTAATTAACATACATAAAAGTTAATTATAATTTTGAAACAAAGCTTTGGCCTCAAAACTGCGTGTCTCTTTATTTTGCTTTTTTTTATTTTCTCGTTTTGTCTTCTCTTTATTTTGTCTTTTTTCTCCTTTTTTGTTTATTTTTGTCTTATTATTTGTTTTTTATTTGCTTTTCGTCTTTATTTCGCTCATCTTTAGTTATCAGCTGTGTAAATCCTAAGATTTTAGTTACTTCAACAACTACATTTGTCTAAAATCGCCCCAACTTTGAGTACTCTGCGAAACTCTGTGATTACCACAGCGTACAAAGCACACTGAAAATCCAGATTTTTTGGCTTCACGTACCTCGGAGGTCTGGGATGGTGGTGTAACTGCCTTCAGCCACGTGTTCTTCCGGGCAGCGATACGCACCTGCCGCCTGAGTCGGGTCAGTTCGCCAATTTCACTTAGCTTATCGCGTATTTCGAGCATAGAACGCCTTTCGATACTCCTTGTTGCACTGAACACACAGTTGTCGCTTACACCAAATCTGCAAAGAAAACCAAATATACTGAGGAACGGTATCACAGACAGGGAGGGAAGTAGAAATTAGCAAGCAGAACTCACCGATTAATGCAATCGTGTAGAATTTTCAGCTCTTCATTTGTCCATTCCTTGTTCTCGCCCTATAAAATGTCAAATTAGACAACGCTGCTAAATATTTGGGACAGAAACGGGAAGAACGCATTAAAATAAATGTCGCTTAACGCAAATCTGAAAAAAAAAATCGAAAAAATGTGTAACCCAACATTTAAAAAAAAACAGAAATCGGGACCAAAATGCAGGAAATTTAAGCAGAAAGACCTGTGAGTAGAATGCGGGAAAACAGATAAAGAAAACAGATGACCGAAATAAAAAATGTGTGAGAATAATCAAAAAAAAGAAAAACCTATGAAACATGACTTCTAATAACTCCGTACGAATTAGCGAGAAACAGGAAGCAAAGTTTCGATCCCCTGCTGATTTTGTACCTGTGGTTTTTATGCCTCGAAACGTCTTGTAAAGCTATTGGTTTTGCCGTTTAAGCTGTATTCTACATCTATTAATTGTGCTTATTCATGTTTCAACACAATACATCATATTTACAATTCAAAAGCAACTGTTGTAGTTCTTCGCTGTAATGGTTATCACGAAACCAGAAATCCAATCCAACACAAAAAGACGAAAATCCAAACAAAAATGTACGAAATTTAAATGAAAAGATCTGAAAGAAGAATGAAGAACATACATACATACATACATACATACATACATACATACATACATACATACATACATACATACATAATAAATAAGTTATACCTACACACACATACATACACACACACACACGTACACACCCACGCAAGCAAAAACCACACACATACCACCTACACTACACAAACGCATTTCAAAAATATATTCCATCACAATCGCAATAAACATACCATGCGAACTGGCTGATGCTGCCAAAGACGATGAGTATTATCATCAGCTGCCATCTCGAGACATACACGCACTTACGTGAATGGCGTCACAGATTCCCGTCAGTAATCACGCAATTGAGCCGTCCTTTTCAATCTTAAAATGCACCGGATAATTTTAAGTGGAAAATCCGTCCAAACTGCCATCAGCATGACTCCACAACAACCTTTTCACTCATCAAGGCTGCCCGACTGTTTGTGCGGCTTGGCTATTTTTTACGCGCTTTTTGTTGTGCAGCTGCTACAGTGAGCAAAGGCGCATACTGTCGAGAGGCTGCTCGTGTGTATGTATGTGTGTGTGTGTGTGTGTGTGTGTGTGTGTGCATATTTGTCAAAAGTTTGCACTGTGTGTGTGTGTTTGTGTGTGTATGTGTGTTTGTGTGTGTATGTGTGTTTGTGTATGTGTGTTTGTGTGTGTGTGTTTGTGTGTATGTGTGTGTGTGTGTGTGTGTGTGTGTGCACATTTGTCAAAAGTTTGCACTGTGTGTGTATTCGTGTGTATGCGTATGTGTGTGTGTGTGTACATATTTGTCAAAAGTTTGCACTGTGTGTGTATTCGTGTGTATGCGTATGTGTGTGTGTGTGTGTGTGTGTGTGTGTGTGTGCATATTTGTCATAAGTGTGCACAGCTTATGCATGTGTGTGTGTGTGTGTTCGAATGTTTTTTGTCGTCATAATACACAAAGAAGATAAATCCATGAAGGCGGCAACAAACAGCTGTGAGAAATCAGAACACTGTGCTTTGCTGCCATTGCGCGCTATCTTCAACGTTTTCATTGCTTCAGTGCCTGATTAATCACATCAACCTGTGCCATGAAGAGGTTCCAAAGTAGAAGTGACAGCCAGCCAGACACATACGGAGGAAAAAAAGTAACGATTTTCGATGAAACGAACATAGGACCAACCTTCCGGTTGAATGCTGCCACTCGCTCCCTTCCAGACTCGACCCGGAAACACCCGAAATAACAGTTGATGATTTAAATTTGTTACAAAATAATGCGAATATTACGATGATGGTGCACCAGGCGCTGCTGGTTTACAGATTGAATTTTGATAAATCCAACACGTTGACTTGCGTGAATTCCACTCCTCTAATTTATGTAATTTAACCCTTATGATTCAATAGAACAACAAGTATTTCGCGAATTAAACGCCGATCAATACGCAAGTGAGGAAAAAGTTAAGAAACATGCCCCTAAAAATAATACAACGAAACGATAATCCAGAAAAGTAGGAGGGCAAAATACCAGAGTATTTTTAAACGAAATTATAGAACGACGGTAAAGAATGTGGATGAAGCAAAAAATAAGTGAATTTTCCAGTCGCAAACATATTAGTAGCCATGTCACAAATAGCAAAAAAAAAGATATGTATTAGGGTCGGCAAAAAGTGTCGTAAACGGGTGAAATTTGCATCGGCTTTACGTATGCAAAAACATAAAGCAGAGTAATTATGCATGGAATTGAAACCTGTCGGCCTAGAAGAGTACGGGCCAGTGTTATAGGCCTATATGGAAACGACAAAAAGCATTTCTTGCAAGACAACAGGGGGAAACTGTAGCAATATGGAGAACTGGAAAAATAAGAT